TTTAGCTCTAAGTTCCAAGTTACAGTCCATCACTGTGGGGAAATTATAGCTACAGGAGCTCAAAACAGTTCCTTATGCTGCATCTAGTATCAAGAAGCAGAGAGCATTTGCATGAATGCATACATGCTTTGTGCACAGCTCATTTTCTCCTTTTTCATACAGTCCAGGACCCTGATCACTTTCAGGTTGGGTCTTCCCACATCCACTAACATAATCACGACAATCCCCCAAAGACATGATCACAAGCCAACTTATCTAGACAATCTCTCATGGAGACTCTTCCCAGGTGATTCTACAGTGTGTCAAGTTGACAATTTAAAGCTAACCATCACAGGAACCACCTTAACAACTTTATTTTGATTACCCTTATACAGATCCTAACTCCTCACAGGTTCACATTTTCAAAAACTAAATTAGGACTTTGACAAGTGAATGCGATAGGAACATTAATCAATGTGCTGGTTGGCTTTTGTCAACTTAAAATGAACTAGCCTGCAGGTATGTCCATGGGGCATTTTCTTGACTGTTACTTGATGCAGGCCAGCCCAAGGTGGTGCCATCCCTGGGCAGGTAGGCCTGGGCTGTATAAAAAAAGTAGCTGAGCAAGCCAGAAGGAGCAAACCAGTAAGCAGCATTCCTCCATGGTGTCTACTTCAGTTTCTGCTTCCAGGTTCTTGCCTTGGCTTCCCTCAATAATGGACTGTAACCTATTTTCAGAAAACACTGGGATACTGCAACCTTGCTCCTTCCTTTTCTATTTTAACATCCTTCTTCTAAAGGTAACCTTTTATCATGGCAGTGGTGGTGGAGGTGGAGGTGGTTGGTGGTGGTGGTTGCTTTTTTTCCTCACAAAGCTATGCACTCGAGACCTGGAAACGACTTTTTTGCTAGCTAGATTCTTTCCCTCACAAAGATAAGTATTAACCTCTCAAGTACAGAAGTCTGGGGTTTGGGATTTTGTTTTGCTATGGGTGCCTGCCATAATATTTTTAGTAAGGAAAATGCTTTTGTGTGCCCTGATAAAACTGTATTGGGAAATACATGGCACATAATGCATGGACCAATAATAAGAATAATGAACAACTGAAGAGTTTGAACATGTGAATTTTAGTGTCTTCCTCCCAGAAAGTAAAGACTGTAAGTCTGGTGCAGGATACCATAAGCCAGCAGTTCTAGCAAGCACCCCAATGAGTGTAGGGTTCCCACCACACAGTAAGGCACTAACATCATTAACTCAAACCACTGACCTCCTAGAATATCACTTCTGGCAGACTATAGTTTGTGTTACAAAATAACATAAAATAACAGCATTAACTCAAAAACAGAATATGCACCCTTAAAGCCCACTGTATTTCATATTCTTTTCTTTTAATTTTATTTATTGAGGCAGGATATCATGCAGTCTAAGCTGGCCTAGAACCTGCTATATAGCCAAAGATTACCTTGAGTATCTGATTCTTCTGCCTCTACCTCCCAAATGCTGAAAATACAAGCCTGCCACCAATCCAGCTAGTATCTTATAGTCATCTTTAAGATTTATTTTTATTATTTTTATATGTGTGTCTGTGTAAGAATGTGCCACATATGGGCAGGTGCCCATGCAGATCAAAAGAGGGCATCAGATTCCCTGGAGCTGTAGTTATAGGTAGTTGTGAGCAGTCCAACATGGATGCCAGGAACTGAACTCAGGTCATCTGGAAAAGCAGCAGACACTCTTAACCACTGAACCATCTATCCAGCCTAGCATCTCATATTCTAAGAAACAGAAATCACATTTGTATATTGAGAGATCACCACATTAACAGCTAAATGCATAAATGCTTATCTCTTCTGAGTGTTTCCAGTCTTTATGCTGTTCCTTCTTTTCTATCCATATCCACCATATTTGTAGGTGCTCAACTTGCATTTTTGCCTCTGCTTCTGTGGTGTAACAGGTGAGACAGAAGAACCTGGGGGGAGGCACAAGCTGCAAGACCAGCACCTAGCAGCAGTCCTCTCCATGCTGATGGGCCCTGGTGAAAGGGGCAGGGCAGGAATCCTCCAGGGACAAGGACTTGTGGCAGAGCTCCCCAGGCAACTGCCACCTAGCACACAGAATGCCTTTTTCCTTCTTACCCAAGCCAACCTCTATATGTATGAGGAATCTACAGCAAGACACTGGAATCAAAACAAGAGAGAGAAAAAACTGACAAATGGGCTTAATCCATGAGGTCTGCAGAGAATATGGAGCAGAAGGGCTTTGTACACATGCCAACTCACCCCCTTCTCAATAGCATCAAACAGCCTCATTCTGAACCCTGCCCACATCACCCGCATCAAGTCAAAAGAATCAGACAGGTGTTGGGGAGAAATGGACTCCCCAGATTGACTCAGTATGGTGAGTGTGCAACATTTACTCTTGGTTTAGAATGGTAGCCTACAAAGCTCCCTTCCTTCCTTTTTTATTCTTACCAGTAACCCAATCTGGTTTGAAATTCCTGGGCTCAAATGATCTCTTGCATCAGCTTCTGAAGAGTTGGGATTATAGGTGAGCACCACCATGCCAGACTTGCAAAGGTGTTGTGAGCATGATAATGGAAGGAAGGTGCAAGGAAGCATTGTCAAGGGGGGACATGAGATAAAGGCACTATGGGGAAATTTTAACTGTTCCAAAAGCAAATCCCCACAACTTCCAGGAAGACTTTCAAAGAAGACAGAGAAAATACTTCAGCTCCAGAAGACATCTCAGAGCTTGTTTTCAATAGGATGGAGAGCTGCAGTGCCTTCTTCCAAACAGCCACAAAACACACAACTGGCTCTAAGGAATGACACATTCACTAGCATCAATCCTGGTTCCCAGGCTGGGGAGAGAATTCAGTCAGTAGAATGAAGCCCTGAGTTCAGTTCCCCAGCATCCACATAAAAAGGTGGATCCCACCAGGCGTGGTGGCACACACCTTTAATCCCAGCACTCGGAAGGCAGAGGCAAGTGGATCCTCTGTGAGGCCAGCCTGGTCTACAGAGTGAGTTCCAGGCAGTTGGAGCTACAGGGAGACCAGGTCTCAAAAAGACAAAAAAAAAAAAAAAAAAAAAAAAGTGGATCCCCAGAACTCACTGACCAGCCAGCCTAACCAAATCACCAAACTCTGGTTCAAAGATAGTCCCTCAGAAAAACACAGTGGGCAGTGATTGAGAAAGATACTAGACTCAGCCTGTGGCCTCCACATGCAAGTACACCCACATGCAGACATGCATATATACACACATACACCTCACACACACTAATAAAATTTAAATAAAAAATAGTAACAGCTAATACTTGCTAAGCACTTATCTACCACCTTGCCCTTTTTAGATACATTATCTTCTTGGAGGTTTATAACAATGCTAACAAGTAGACACTACCATCTTCATTTTCTAGATCAGGAAATCAAGGCCCTGGTAGATTAAGTAACTTTCTCTAAACCATGTAGTTACTTCAGCAAAGTCAAATTTGGATGGATGTTGTCTGACTTGAGAGCCAAAGGTGTAATGACTAAATTGCTTAAGAGATGTGGCTAGTTTCCATGAGCTTCTGATTCAGGCTAAAAGGACATGCAGCCTGCAAGCAGCCACCATGCAGAGAGGACACTTGCCACCAAAAGCAACATGCCATCCCTGCTAGCATATGGAGGAGCATGGGGCAACCCCCAGGTGGTCCTTGGTCCCGGAACTCAAGAGAGCTCAAGAAAGCTCAAGAGAGCTCAAGAAAGAAGGCCACAAGTAAATTTCCCAGGGAGGGTATAAGTATTGGCTTGATGAAATGGTATGACAATTTTTTTAAATAAAAGAGATGAAAGATACTATATGGGTATCACACTGAGATTTGGGGATCTCGGTGCTAACATTGCTTATCTGGAATAGGCAGCTCAAATAAGCTTAACACGTGAATTTCACTGAAAGAATTAACCCATTGCCAAGTAAAGTATCTCAAAGAATTGGAATCCTGTTAGACAAGCTTAACACCATGAAATGGTACAACTTAATGAGAGACACTCTAAATCTTGAAGACAACACAAAGCACTCACTCTCTCATTTGTTCTCTCTGGACTGATTTCACAAGTGGCTCAGTGTTTTTCCTGGGTATGTACATGCAGAGCAGTACGTAAAATGCTATAATTACATGCCTTTAAAAAATTATTTCAGGGGGCTGGAGAGATGGCTCAGTGGTTAAGAGCACAGACTGCTCCTGCAGAAGACCTGGGTTCAATTCCCAGCACCCACATGGCTGCTAACAACTGACCATAACTCCAGTTCCAGGGGATCTAACGCCTTCTTCTGATCTCCACAGGCATTGCATGGAATGAGTGCACTTCCACACACGTAGGCAATACACTAATATACATAAAATTAAAATAATAATAATAAAAATATTATTTCATGGGGCTAAAGAGATGGCGTGGCAGTTAACAGCACTAACTGTTCTTACAGAAGACCCAGGTTCGATTCCCAGCACCAACATGGTGGCTGACAACTGTCCATAACTCCAGTTCCAGGGGGATCCAACACAGGCATTGCACGACATGGGTGTACTTACACACATGTAGGCATAACACTCATACATGTAAAAAATAAACATAAATAAAATAATTTTTAAAATTATTTCAGTAAAACTTCTTCCACCCCAATTCTTTTTAGATCATTGTATTAATTTTTAAATGAGGCTCTCAAACACCTGATACAATCATGTTGAATAAAGCATTTTCTTTAAACATCTACCCCACCTCCTGGAGACATAACACACATTCCTGAGCATGGAAGTTCTAGCATTAAAGTAAAATCAAACAAATGCAGTGATTCATTCTGAAGCTAAAGGATGGGAGACTGCACTGACCTTTTGCAGTGACCTGGGGTCCAATTCAAATTGGACTTGGAGCAGTGGGAAAAGAAGAGAAAGAGGAAAAGTAGAAAAGCTAAGACTGCAAGAGAATGAAACCCCAATGTAGTGATATTTATTCCTGAGAAGTATCTTAGCCTCTCACCTGTCTACTGCTTCCACATCAAAGCAAAATCTCTTCTCGATAGAGTCTGTCTTCCGCCGCGTGCAGGATTTGAGGGTAACAGACTCATCTTCTCCCTAGTAGAAACACAGACTATCAAGGTAAGGGCAGAAATCAGGCCCTGTTCCCCTCTAGGACAAACATGGTACATAAACAGAATCTCATTTCAACTTCTCAGATCTGCATGTTCACAACCTTGTGAGAGGAAAGGCTGACCATAGACTTTCTCAAGCAACAATCTCCTATAGCAAAAATCTGGAACCCCTGATTTTAGTTATGACAGGTAAATCATGATGGCAGGAACATGGTACATGCCCAGTACTACTGCTTTAAATATGTTTAATTTGCAGGGGTGATAAGAGTTGAAGACAACAGTCCTCTCCTAACTGAGCTTCTGTGACCTTTGGTTACTCATCACTTCTTCAAGAACACCTCTGTGGAACAGGTCACAGTTCCCCCAAGAAGTGCTCACATGGAACCAGGTACCTCCCTATCCTTATCAAAGCAGAAATAGTCTGCTAATGTAAGGTTTAAAATAATGTCTCCCCATAACAACATTAAGTACCCTTAGGACATAGATTGTATGTCTTTACTTACTCTTGTACCTTCTAAGCCCAATTGGCTCCTGGACAGAGGAGGTGTTCAAATAATTAACAGCTCTATTGATATTTAACATAGGATAAATTGCATGGGCTTAATGTACACAATTTATAAATTTTGACATCTGTAGGCTCCTATGAGCTAACATCTGAGCTAACAAACTTTTCCGCCATCCCTCCCAAACATTCCTAGTGTCCTCATAATCCAGCCCTCCTCCTATTTCATGCCAAGCAACCACTGAATCTGCATTCTGCTATTGTAGGTTAGTTAGTTAGCAGTTTCCACAATCCTATACAAAAGGACACAGTAAGTGCTCAATTTCATCTGGAGTCTTTCATGAAACATAATTATTCTGCAGTTCATCCACCCTGCATATTCTGAGTTGTTTCTTTTTACAGCTGAGTAGTATGTCACTGTGTAACTGGAAGGGGGAAATCCTAGCTCAGTACTCATTTACTGCCTGGAAACACAAAAGTTGTTCTTCATTTCTTCTCTTTTGTCACTTAAGAATTCATCAAGGCTTCTGTTTCTCCCTTTTTTTTTCATAGTAAGGGGGAAATAAAGTTGCCTGGTTTGTTGAAATAGGAAATGTGACTACAGATGGTGGATGTAACCACCCACTAATATCAGAATAGCACACAAAACAGCCCTAGGAAGAGACAGTTTATATTCACATGCCTTACATCTATGGTACTTACTGAGTGGAAAAGACTAATTTCTTGTATTGAGAACTTTTCTTTCTTTTTGTAAGACGTGCATGTTAAACAAAAATCATAGGAGGTTGCCTAGTAATCCCAGTTACTTGGAAGACTAAGGTAGAAAGGTCACAAGTTCAAGTCCAGTCTGGCCTACATAATGAGTTCAAAGTTAGTCTAGACAACTTAGCAAGACCTATCTTAAAAGAAAAGGGCTGAAGATCTACTTCTGCAATGTTTGTCGAGTACATGTGAGGCCCTAGATTCAATCTGCAGCACCACCACCTCTGCTGCTAGCCTTATCACACTTGCTGTGTTTTATAGAATAAAGTAATGCCTGAGTCTACAGCTAAAAAATAAAGCCAATTAAGATCTTTCAACTAAATGTTTCCAATTTTATCTTTTGATAAATATATACCCAAACATAAGAAATTACGACCTTGTTGATGTCCAACTATAGTTCAGATTTAATAGCTATGGGCCAGTTTTTATTACGAAGCTTAGATGAGGCACCATGGAAAAATGGAAGGAACAGAGATCTATAAAGGACCATCATATAAAAGCAGAAAAAGGAGAAAAATCTGACATGGTTGACATACCCCTTTAATCCCAACACATCAGGAGACAGAACTAAGTAAATCCTTGTGAGTTTGGGGCAACCAGGGTTATACAATGAGACTTTGTCTCAAAAAAAAGAAAAACAAAGTGGGGAGGATTCTGTTCTAAGGGTACCCATGCCATACCTGAAAAAGACTGTAAAAGTGATCTGCTCAACTACCTGAAGTTTTAAAAAGTAGTGAACTTAGATAAGCACTTTAAAACACTATAACCCTGCTGTGATAGTATTAGCAACTTGACAGGATCTACAATCTCCTAGAAGACAAGTCTCTGGACATGTCCATGAGAGAGCTACTTAATTAACTGAGATGGGAAGACCTACCCTAAATGTAAGTGGTACCATTCCATGAGCTGGGGTCCTGGACCACATAAAAAGTAGAAAGCAAGCAGAGCATCAGCATTCATGGCTCCCTGCTTCCTGACTGGGCACATGACCAGGTATCTCCTGTTCTTGCTGCCATACCTGCCCTGCTGGACTCTACCTCCTGGAACTGTGAGCTAAAATCAACCCTTCCTTCCTTAACTTGCTTTTGTCAGCATGTGGAAAGGCCCTTAGTCAGGGTCCAGGGAGTCTGGGAGAAAAAGAAGGGAAGTCCATGGTGAGTGGAAAAGTAGAGGGAGAAAAAAGTCAAGGGGAGGCAGGGGCCAGCCATGCAGGATTCTAGTCTACAACCTGGGAGGAGTGAGAAAGTAATAAGGGGCTTCAAGGAAGGAAACAGCCAGGGGCCAGGTCTGGGCTACTTGAGGCTGCAGAGAGTGCCTCTCTTGGAAGGTGGGATTCAGAGACATTCTTAACCACATATAGGGTCTGATTTCCAAGAGGATGGGGAAAATCTGCTCACAACTTCAAGCCTGAGACTGAGGGGTAGGAATGGGGTGGGTACTTTTAAAGGGAAAAAAATCCAAAGGAAAAGGGGGAAAGAGGCAGCACAAAGAGTGGGAAAGATTCATTCTGGGGTAGACTAACTACATTAGGCCTACCTCCAGCTTCTAGGAGAGCTTTGTACAAACATGAATGAGTGCCAACGCAGCACATGACTCCTCTGTTCACATCACCTCCTGAACCCCTGGATGAGCATGTCTCCCATGTCCTCCACTAGAAAGCTGAGGACACAGTGGTGTCCTGGAAAATACCTATCTTCAAAAGCAGGAGGTTCCAACTCCAGAATGACAGTTCAGGGTGCTTAGTGCTTGCTTTGTAACTTATTGTATGAGCTTAAAAGTCAGTTGATCTCTCCAATCCTCAACAGCCCCCTTTGTGAAAAAGAGGAAAGCTGGATCAAGTGGCACAATGCAAGGTAATTAAAGAGTACAGACCACTATAAAATGTAAGATAAATACAACTCGCTATTATTAGGAAAATGACTTGTTACAGTGGCAAGTTCCTAAGTTGTTATTTATCAGTCTTGGCCCAAATTCATCACCACAGTAAGATGTCTACCCTTCACTAACAAGGGTTATAAAAGAAAAAAAAGTTCATTAAAGACTTGGAGAAGTGCATGACAAAAAGTTCTCAATGAAGCCTATGAGGCACAGGAAGTCAGTCAATTGGTTTCTAGAAAGAGTTTATGACTCAATCCAGAGAATGGGCTGACCTCTACGCTCAATACTTGAAAACTAGGGGATATCTATTCATTTAGATTTGTGATATTCGCTTCTAACTCTGCAATTTCTCTGTTATATTTTAACATGTGTTTTCCTGACATTATTTGTAAATCAGCCCCACCTATGCAGAAAAAAAATTAAAATGTCTTTGCTATTGCTTGGATACAAGGAAGGAACAGAGATGCTGATAAAACTCTTTATTGTAGCTGAAGTAAAAGAAATCCATGAAAAAAGGCTGGAAGTTGGAGAGAGCAAAGAGTACAACCTGGTCGAGTATCTGCAGGTATGGTACAGCACCTGACAGCACTGACCCAGGCATGTCCAGTCTGAAAGCCTGTGCTCTCCACTTATGTACTGAATGCCCTCCAAATGCTAACTCAACACAGTACACGAACATGTCCACAGAAGGCCAAGTATGGAAGGCTATACAGTACTAATTTACCAAAAGGTGAGAAACAACTGAAAAAATTACCTAAACTAAAAACAGAACCAGAGGGTCAAAAATGTACCCCAGAGATTCAAACATCTGACTGAGGCAAGACAATCTCTCCAAGTTGGAGGCCAGTCTGGACTACACAGTGAGTCCCAGGCCAATCTGGGATACAAAGTGAGACCCTGTCTCAGATAAAGAAACAGGCAGGGGATGAAAAGTTGGGGGTTTTTTTGTTCGTTTTTTACAAAAACTTTATTGAGAATTTCATACATGTATGTAAGGTGTTTTGATCAAATCCACGCCCACTCCCTCCCCTACAACATTCCCCCCTCTGAAGAAGTAACCCTAAAATCTTTTAAAGGTTAGATACAAGCTCCCAAATACTTTTGACATTTTTGGCCTTGGAACAGAGTATGTTCCTAAGAGGCCCAAGGATATTTTGACTTTTAGCCAAGAAAGTGGCTACATTTCTTTGGGGTCTTTTTACCCTAACTGCCTAGCCAATTCCTACCTCCTATTCTTATCACACCATCCTCTGAAGGGGTTACCCAAATTGCCAATAGGGAATAGGGATGCACACCACCCTGGCTTCTTCCACACTGAACAGGGACGCAGGGTGAGGCAATTGGAGTACCCTTTCAGTGGGTCTACCTAAAAGACTCCCAAATTGCATAACTCTTGTCTCTAAGGGGAGAAGAAAGTCCTTGAATCATGAATGGGAGATGTGAAGGAGAAGTGAAGGCAAGAGTAACTAGCATTACAAGTTCTAGCAGGGAACTAGAAAAAAGTCAGAACAGGGCAATTTTCAAATGTCCATTGGAGTTTCTTGACAAGGGCTTCCAAAAGCAAAGTTTTTGTTGTTGTTGTTTTGCTTTGCTTTGCTTTGTTTTGTTTGACAGGGTCTCCCATAGGCCAAGCCTGCCTAGAATTCACTATGTAGACCAGGCTGGCCTTGATCTCACAGAGATCTGCCTGCCTCTGCTTCCTGAGTGCTGGGATTAAAGGCATGCCCCACCATGCCAGGAGAAAATTCTTATTAAAACATTTGAACATATTTAGAGATAAGTAATATCAAACATAAGGCAGAGGAAAAACTCAAACTGGTAAATGGTAAGGATTTTCCAGAGTTACTGAAAGAGGTAAAAACCTTAAATCCAAGGTGGCCAAAAATTTCCAAGCAACTGTTTTGTTTTTAAAATTCAAACCTAGGATGATCAACATGAAATGTAGAATGGTAAGGGAAGAAAAGGTTGTAGGACAGCCAGTAGGAGAAAGACAGATCACCTCTACAGGAAATTTATCTGACTACTGAGAGAGCATCCAGCAGAGAGCAAATGGCAGGAGGCAAGAAAAAGCCAATAGGTCTGTGCAAGGAAAAACATTGGGGAATTTAAGGAGATGCCAACACCAGTGACAGCAGACCCTGACCTGGCCTAATAATATGATCCACACTGCTTCCATTCTAGCTACAGTCTGGCTAGAACCTCATATGAACTGAGCCTGAGCCACCATCAAACACACCCCAAATTCCTGACACAGAGACCATACAGAATACTAAAATTATTAGTACACTTTTAAAAGTTTCAAGCTCTAGCGGTGACTTGTTACACAGCAATTGATAACTGATATATCTACACTGCCCACTGGCAGCTCTCCAGGGATCAAATAAGAGAGACATAAATCCGTTTCACAGGATGAAGTCAACCACGACTTTTGGGCATCTCATTAACATTTGACGCATTTAATAGTGTATACATATGAAATAAAAGAATCTCTCAGTTAGAGTTACTAACATGACTTAGAGCTAATGATGATTATTTTAGCCATTTTCAGGGCACTTAGGGACCTCTAAAACTACTGCATAAAATGAAGAGTTTTACAATGCAACAGTTTATTTTACATATGATTATGATCATTATCTGTTAGCCAAGCAAATCAGCAAGAATTTTTTACAGTCAACTCACCCCCTTTCCTCCTGACTTTTGATCAAATGGGATCATGGTGATTTGTTTGGAATCCCGTTGGTATGTACAGTAGTGCTTCACCCAAGAAGTTCCAAAATGACCTGCAAGGGAATATTGTCTGTTAGCCATCTGCACAATCCACTGTATGCTGCACATAAGTAACTGCCAAAACACGGGGCCATAGTCCATAATGCTCAGGCATACTGCTTATCCACCACCCTTCAGTGTTTTAGGAGTGATGTATTCCCTACACAGCTCAACTGAAACCAACAGAAATCTGATCCCACAGGCTGGAAGTGGAACCAAGCCAATGCTTTTCCCCTAGAGACTTAAGAACACTATTTCCCACTAATTCTATATCCAGTGGGTCTTAAAATACAGGGGAAGTAGAGGTTCCCTAGGGAAATGAAGTCACAGTCCCATCATCAATCTCCATTTGAAGTTTCCATTCTCTTCCTTGACCGAAGAAAGAACACAGAAAGGTTCTTCCAAGTGCTTGTCACCGTTCCCCTCTGAGGCAATGACATCATCCTTCCCACACAGCTGCTCAGTGCAGCACAGACATCAGGGGTTCTGACCTACTTCCAAACTCCTAATTTTTACTTCAGCAGAACTCAAAAAGATCTGAAAAGCAGACAAGGAAACCTCAGAGACACAGATGCAGACTGCAAGTGACTAAATGCCCAAATGCAATCTAAGGAGTCTCAAAAATTTCCCTCAGGAAAGAGGAGACATCACAGCACCAAAGCCTATCAAAGTCTCTGATTGTAACCAGTGCCTGGCCAATATTTTGAACAACAAAGTGCTATTAGAAGAAGATAGCATTATCAGCCTGAAAGGATTTTAATCAATATTAGTTTTAGATCTTTATAGAGCTCACACAACAGAAATGGTCAAAATTTAAAACACCATGTAAAGAGGCAGCAGCCACTTAATAATTATTAAAGGTTTGGTGTGACTGCCAGATTCAAGTATTGGATATCATTTAATAACTTTAAAAAGCAATACATAGGGGCTGGGAGATAGCTCAAATGGGAAAGTGCTTGCCTTGCAAGCATGAGGACCTGAGTTTGATCCCCAGAACCCATGTTTTTAGAAAGCTAGGTGTAGTGGCAAACAGCTGGAGAGGCAGAAAGAGACAGATCCCTGGAGTTTGCTGACCAGTCATTCTAGCCCACTCAGTGAGCTCCAGGACAATGAAAGACCATGTTCCAAAGAACAAGGTGGATGTCAGCTTACAAACTTTTGAGGTGATCTCTGGCTGCCATATGTAGACACCCATGTGCACTCATAAGAACTCATCCATGCCTGGATGGACATCAGGCGTGTGTGTGTGTGTGTGTGTGTGTGTGTGTGTGTGTGTGTGTGTGTGTGTGTGTGTCTGTGTACACACATACACAATACTTAAGTGTTTACATTGGGTCATCAAAGACAATGGAAAATACCAACCACCCAAATGAATTCTTGGGACTTAAGAGAAGTTTCAGTAATTGCATAACACAAAGAGTCTAGGAGTGCTTTGTCTTAAACAAGGTAAACATAGACAGTAACAGATGTGAGTGAAATGTGAATCACAAGATTTTATTGACAATGGAAAGAAAGTGATGGACAGATGGGTAGATATGAAGGGTGGGAGGAAAGAAGACAAGCAATAAATATTGAAGGAGTGGTAGATCTGGGAAATCACCATCACAGTAAAGTGATGATGATTCAGTCTAGGCAAGAATCATCAATGGATGCTAACTCTATGGAGAGCAAAGTGTATCAAGTAGAAGGATATTTACATGAGCTTAAGGCGACCCCACAGAAAACTAGTTAGCTACAAAGGGAAAATAGTGACCTTGCAGTGCAGAAGCCATGCAATGCCTTGACTGGGGGGTAAAACTGAAGATCATTGTGGAGGGGCTGATGAACACCAGGCAGAGAAGAACATGCTCTACTACAAAAGACTGGACTAGAGATGAATAACCTGAATCCAATCGTGAAAAAACATCAGTCAAACCCACTAAGAGGAAACTTCCATAAAGAACTGGACCATGTTCTATAAAAACATCGTCATGAAAAACAAAGAAAGGCTGAGGAACTATTCTAGATTACTGCAGCATAAAAGTCTGTACTGGAAGAAAGCAGATGCTTTATAAGGGCTTTATTGGGACAGCTAGAAAACTTGAAATATTAACTACAGTTTAAAAACTGTGTCAATTTAAATTTCCAAGATTTGATTCCATAAAATAATATCCTAATTCTTTACAGAGAGTCACTGAATAGCCAGCTGTGGTGGGGCATGACTGATACAAAAGTACTCAGGAGGCTGAAGCAAGAGGGTTCAGAGTTTGAGGACAACTTAAGCTACATAATGAGTTTAAGGCCAGTTGACTATACAGTGAAACCTATAGTGACTTTTTTAAAAACTCAGGCTGGCGGGATGGGTCAGAGGGTAAAAGTGTTTGCTACCAAGCCTGAGGACCTAAGTTTGAGCCTCAGAACTCACATGGTGGAACTGACTGGTGAGAGTTGTCCTTTTACCTCACTGTGTGTTATTACACACACACACACACACACACACACACACACACACACACAAGAAAAAAATGTAAAGTCACCAATATTACAACAACAAAACCTCTCTGAACTAACGGAGAATGGTGCATTGAAGCAGAAAAGCTCAGGGGAAAAAAATGAGTGTTCACGAGAGTGGTGTGCATATCTACTCCCATCCATACACAGAGAAGAAAAAAGGTGATTAGAGAAAAATGTTAAGAAATTTCAGGGGGCTGGAGAGATGGCTCAGTGGTTAAGAGCACTGGCTGTTCTTGCAGAGGACCTGAGTTTGGTTCCCAGCACCCACAGTTCCAGGGGACCCAATGCCCTCTTCTGACCTCCACAGGCATTGCACAGCATGAGTGCATTTACATACATGAAGGCAATACACTCACATACATAAAATAAATACTTTTTAAAAATTATAAATTGGGGGCTAGAGAGATAGCTCAGCGATTAAGAACACTGGTGTTCTTGTAGAAGACCCGGGTTCTAATCCCAGCACCCACATGGCAGCTAACAACTGTCTGTAACTACAGTTCCAGGGGATCCAACAGTCTCTTCTGTCCTCCATGGGCATTGCATGACATGGGTGTACTTACCTACATGCAGGCAATACACATGTACATATAAAATAAAAATAATATTTTTAATTATAAATCTAGGTACATTCAGAAGCCTGTTTCTTATACTTTTCTCGCACCCTTTCTGTATGCTTAAAATTACTTCAAAATAATAAGCTCCCAAAACTATACTGCATCCCAGTGACAAGCTCTGGGATAATGTGCTACAAAACTAAAAAGCAGTTCTAACAAAAATTAACACATAAAGGAGTATATAAAGTGTTTGAACAAACTGTGTAATGCAATGAGTTTTTAAAAAATGATTTTATACACGCTTGTGAATATTAATAACCTAAGAGGCAACATAGACTGTATTTGTACACTCCTGAAATTTTGTATTTTTTTTTCTCAGAGAAAAATGCACCTTTTTTCGGTTTACATAAAAAAACTTTGTCTATTGCATTCTGATATCAGAAACAAGATCTGGGAGCAGTCCCCTCAGCTTCCTGAGGCATCACGGAAAGAAAATTTGTATTTTTAGGTTGACCTCAAACCTTGGAGAGTGAGTTGGGGTGAAGCAGTCTTTCCATGGGGCAAAGTGGGCATCACTTTGTTTCACGGAATGAAACACACAACTGAACTGATTTCACTTCCTATAATTTCCCCAAGCTCATTTCTATAAGAATAAGGAACATAAAACCTCATCATAGCCAATACCAACCCCACTTCTGTCCCTACTGTCACAAGGGAATAATTTTACCCCACGAAAATGTATGCACGATCTCTAAGTAGAAAAATCACTAAAACAAAATGTTTGTACCCTTCAGGAGGGATGATACTACCTAAGACGACAAGAAAGAACAGAAAGCCAGCACAAAGTGGGAAGAATAAAGTGCCCAGCTAGGCTGTATATGGTGGCACACACATCTGATCCTGGCACTCAGAAGGAAAAAGCAGGAGGATCATGAGTTCAAGGCCAGCCTGGACGGCTTAGCAAGATCCTGCCTCCAAGAAGGAGGAAGAGGAGGAAGAGAAGAGGAGGAGAAGCTGGCTGGTGGAACTACCATTAGAGAAAAAACTTTTAATTTTTCTCATTCCTGGCACCTGGAGGTGCTACCCTAAATAATGCATCCCCTAAGCCTTCCCCTGGCCCGAACTGAGGCCTCACAAAAACCTGCATTAAACTAACAGCACCTGACATTTCTTTCTTTGAATACACTGTAATTGGTCTTCTTCCTGTTCTTTCATAAAATTCTAGTATTGGGATGAAAGGAATTGAGAAGAAAAGTGCCCAAGCCACGATTTTTCTCAACTAAAAGCAGGATCACCAAATACTAAAGCACTCAAGAAGATGCAGCATTTAAGAGCTTTCCAAGGCCCCTGTGTTTGAGGATTAGTGTACCAAGCACTCTAGTGGTATAAGGAGGTCAAGAGTAACACTAGGAAGAGAACAACCATGGAGCCTCAGGGAATTCTAGCACCCAGGAGAAATCGTGGCACAAAGGAAACAGAACATGTCTCTTGGAGGCAGAAAGATGTAGACATCACTTTTCCCTGTGGAAAGTGGGAAAAGCTCCAGAGAGTTGCTATCACCCTCCCAGCCACATGTCTGCAGAAAGCTAGGCACCTCCAGAGGCACTGCCTGCCCTTGCAGATAGCATACTTACGCTTCTCCTGCACATAGAGGTACCCTTCCATGGTGTAGGGACTAATGGTCTTGTGCTCAAGGGGGTTCTCCTTCATCTTCTTCATCAGTGATTCTACTTCCGACCTGGTACCTTCAAAGCGGTTTCTTGTCTAGGATGAAAGAAATTTTACTCAAATCAATCTCTTAATAATTCAGAAGATAAGAGTAACAGAATCTTTAGATCTAAAATGGGATAAGGGGCATTTGATGGTCTAAGAATTGGGCAAATATTCACTTGCAAGAAATACACTTTGGCCTTACAGTCCCATATCTGAATGGCTCTCAAACTCTAGCGACCATCAACATCACCTAGGGAACTTGTAGAATATGCAAATACCTAGTCTAACTCCTAGAGATTAACTGACACTCTTGGGGCCAGGAGAGGGCATCTTAAATAAGCATCCCATAATAGTCTGACTTAGATGGTCCAGTACCAGCACACCTTTGAGACCAAAGTCTTCACTTCTCCAGTTGCAGGAAATGTGGCTTGCTGATGGCTCACAGACGACTCCCTCCTCAAAGGGTAGCTGCTGCTCTCTAGGTCACTCTGTTACCCAGGGCAGGCTGCAACCCTTGGCTTCTATCCAGGCCCACAAAGAGTCCCTATGGCATAGCCCAAAGCCTCTCACTGCATTCTACATCATGGCCTCTCTCATGGGTGCCGAGTAAACATGCTACATGTGAACCTTCATTGCAAAGGTTGACTTCAGAAAAACCCATCATGGGACTGGGAATACAGCTTAGTGGTACATACCTGTCTAGCATGCCTAAGGACCTGGGTTTCATCCCCAGAATGGAAAAAACAAAGAAGTCATGCTTTATGAAAACTTTTCTGGCATAGTCCTCAACTTCCTGTTCTCTAAGGCAACACAGAGCCACATAAGCTCCAGACTTCTGAAGGCAATGCAGCACAATCCATGCAGAAACACCTGGGTCTACTTCCTATCCAAGAGTACCCTGAGACTCACAGTCAATCCTAATGTGAAGGGACAGCTTGCCCCCACTGATTCAAAACCCAAATACCATAAAGGAATCTATACACCAAAAGGCCCTGTGTTTAAACCAAAGAGGAGACTGAGTGCAGACTGTACTGACTTCCTGTCAACCTTGCTAAGAGTGAGACCAGAGCATACCATTTGAGCTAGAAGCCAGTATGTGCCCCACCTTCCTTGGACACGCATGTATGGCCTCAGGTAGCCAAACAGCTACATGCTTGGAAGGGCAGCTAGGCTGAGCTGGGCTGGACTCAGACTTCCACCACCAAAGGAAATCCTGACACTGGTGCAAAAAATATACATAACCAGCAGCAGCACTTCCGAGAATAGAAATAGTGCTCTGAAATAATGAGAAGGGATGACAGTTTGACCTGGGCTACCAAGTACTTTAGAAAAGGCTGGTCCCTGTTGCCCTCTGAACCCAACAAGAACCCCATCTCACACATCTAGTTACAACCCACAAAGGGAAGCTCTGGAGCAACCATACCCATTTGCTGTTTCTCCTTTTCAGTCACCGTGCCTACTCACATTTTGTATGCTGATGGTTAACTGTGTCTTGAAGTCACCAAAATCCTTGGCCAGTTCATAACCATGGTGATAGAAAGTAAAGAGTCCTTGCAGGAAGGCCAGTAGCTATAAAGAGAGAAGAAAGGCAGAGGTCACAGCCAGCTGAAGAAGGAGCATATATAACATCATGTGAGTTCCCATAGGGAAGCACAGAATAGCAGGTAATAATAATTCACACATATTGAGCACCACCTGCAAGCCAGGCACTGTGCCTTTCCATGCCCTGTCTCACATGATGCTCACAAACACCTAGGATCTATGTGCCACTGATACCCCATCTTAATAATGAGGAAGCACATTCAAAGACATTAAGTAACTTGTCCCCAAACTCATTAAGTGTCAGCCAGGATTTGAAATCAGGTCTCCGTCAGCACTAACTCAACAGTGTCTAAGAACATCACCTCTTCCAAACTAAAAACCAAGGCTGCACCTCAGCTACCTTCTAGAACATTCATAACATCAGGTTATCATGCACTTGAGCAGGGAGCTAAGGAAGCTGGCATACTCTGAACCTGCAATCTAACAAGCAAAGTTAAATCACAGAAAACCACCCAGAGTAGACTTCGACCAAGGATGATTTCTGTGCTTTTCCTAAATTATGCCACAATAACACTGTGGATTCCTTTATGAAATATCACACACACACACACACACACACACACACACACACACACACACACACACACACACACATCCTCCAACCCCCCCATTTTCAGTTATGCTCGGTTCCTTGACTCTGGTTTAAAACCCTTCAATCTAAAAGGTTTCATTCATCTTGTCTATAGTGAGTAATGAAAACACCTGCTTACCACAATTCTCACAGGAGGCCTTCATGTCCTCAACAACTACCAACAACATTTTCGGGGTATTTCCTCACAGAGCTAACATACAAACCTCCCAACCCTTTCCCAAGTCCTCCCCAGCTTGCCTGGGCTCCAAATTTTGGCATGAAGAAAGGACTATGATAAAAGCTGGAAATGGACTGAGGAGGTGCTATGCCTCCAGGTGGTCCCACCTCAGCTTTGGAAGTCCTCTGGGGCCCACTACCACCTCTTAGCTGGAAACCTATTTCTTTTCTGTTGCATTGTTGTATTCCGCTTCTAAACCCCACAATGTACACATCTATACTTATTTTTATTTTTACCCACTCCCCTATTCTGAGAGGCAGTTCGACTGTGAAGGAATCTTACCCCCTACTCTGCATCTGCTTCTGGCAGAACTAGTCACCACCAAGGTGACTTCAGGGTTAGCCACATGCCCAGTGAGCCTATCAAAGAACTCTCCAACTGGTAACTACTCTGGAAGGAGTGAACATATTCTAAGAAGAGTCACTCTTTTGCTATGGGACTACTGAAACAAAGTTTCTCTAGGAATCTCATGCTGGGAGAAAGAAAAAGTGTTTTTGAAACCTAATGCCAGCCAGAGGACAAATGTGTTTCCTGGGAAGACTGTTCACAGAGTTTTGACAATTTGTCAGATCACCTTGCAGGACAGATTCGAGATGAGACAATTCTGACTGGTATCACACCCTGACCAAGACTGCTGCTACTTACCCTCTATTTAAACCTAAACCTCTTATCAGGACTCCAGAGATGGACTTGGGAAGGGGTGTGCACTAGAATTCTTTATTTGTTCCTTATTCCAATATGACCACACTGAATAAATTTTTTCACCACTACTTTCTCTTTAACTGGCATACAGAGGACAGGTACGCAAATGTACTTGGTAGAGCTACCAGGACCCAGGCTCTGACCCTAACCACTCTAGGAAGTCAAAGAAAACCCAGACTATAATAAAATAGTAGCTTGACCTCCCTCTGTTTCTGTCTTCCACACATATGTCCCTTCGCACAGGAGGTCAGGGAGTAGGCATTGCTGGATCCTCTGACTGCAAAACATCTAGTATACTATACACATATATCCCTGACACAAGTCAGTGAATGAGTATTAAGGTACTAGAGTAACCAAAGCCCAATAATGAGCTCTTTTCTTCAAAGATGACCTTCAAAGAAGCCTCTGGACTTCCTCTATGTAATATAGTTTTCTGAGAGGAAAGCCCATACCCCTTTCCTTCCAGATAGCTCCAGAAATAGAGAAGGTGGTGCTCCTCAGCTGAGCCCAGTCCAGGTATCTATAGTCAAGACTGTTCTTTCTTCTCTCTCCCTCCCTGCAGTGTAAAGAGCAGACCCCACCACTTCTCCAAAGTACTAAGCATCTGCTTCCTAAGAGTGATGCCCATAATAATCAGCTAAATCCTAAAGCTTTGCTTTTATGAGCTCTACTTTCCCTCCACTGAGGGTGATTACATATTCTCAAACAGTTCAAACTAGGCACCAATTGCTGTGGAGGCAGGAGAGGGAGGGTTTTGCTAATATTTATCTTTGGTCTCATTTCTATAGGAAATGATTCCTAACATACTGTTATTTGGGCCCTTCCTTCTTTCCTCATAGCATCTTTTCTTCTCCTCCCCCACACAGGAGACACAAGGACCAAATCTGCCACAAAGATATGCTTCCACTCAAACCATGGAATACCAAGGATTATGGACAAACCACTAAACGTTAGGAGAGAAAAAACTTTCCCCATAGGCTTCAGAGAAACATGGTCCTGCCAACACCCCACTCAGACTTCTATCCAGCAGAACTTTTATGTAAAGCCGCCCCATTGGGAGTACTTTGTTACAGCTGCCTCAGCAAACCAATACAGCTACCAAGAGTCATTATTCTTTTAATAGAGGACAGCAAGCTACAGAGTACGAAAAGGCTGGGCTGGGTAAGCCACACAACTCTTCTCACCCATCTTTAACAGGAAGATAATAAAGTATTAGTCTACAGGGATGTTAAAGGTCAAATCCAATCATCTACGGAATGGCCTTAGCATGCAGTGCTACCAAGAGCTGCTACACAACAATGACAGAATGTGTTCATCAGGACCGGGCAGGAGGAAGGCCAGGACAGAAAGCAGAAGACAAGAAAATAGTGAAGCCTGAAAATGGGACAGAGAATGAGAAAGGAGAAAAGGACACAACACCATAAGTACTGAGGAGGTGAAACTCTGAGGTTGTGGTGCCTGAGAATGTGGAGAAGGCTGAAGAATAACTTCTCAGGAGCACTAAGCAATCCTTAATTATGAAAACCCAGGGCACAGGAGTATCTGCAACTCACATCTCCAGAACATGTTGTTCTAGTTTGCTTCTCTACTCCTGTGATAAAAGACTGACCAAAAACAAATTGGGAAGGGAACAATTTATTTGGCTTACACTTCCACATCATACTCCTTCACTGAGGGAAGCCAAGGCAGGAACCTGGAGGCAGGAGCTGAAGCAGAGACCATGGAGGAATGTTGCTTACTGGCTTGCTCCCCAGGCTTGCTCAGTTACCCTCTTTCTACCAGCCACCCCCACCTGTCCAGGAATGGCACCACCCACAGTGGGCCCTCCTGTATCATTACCAACTAAGAAAATGCTTCACAGATGTGGCCATAGGCCAATTAGATGAAGAAAATTCCTCAACTGAGGGTCCCTTTTCCCAGGTATCTCTAGTTGGTGTCAAGTTGACAAAACTAACCCACACACATGTGGTATCTCAACAAGGTAAAGGCTTCAATAGACATTGGATGGATGGATGGATGGATGGATGGATGGATGGATGGATGGATGGAACAAATGGACAGATGGACAAATGGACAGATGAATGGTTTAGATTACAGAAGTCTGGCTTTTCTTCCTTGGAACTTACTATGTAACCTAGGATGACCACGAACTTTTGATCTTCTTGCCTCCACCTACCAAGTGCTAGGATGACAGGTGTGTGTCACCACATCCAGCTTCTATGAGCTAGGGCATCAAACCCAGAGCCTTATATGCTCTAGGCAAGCACTCGAACAACTGAGCTAAATCCCCAGCCCCTGTGTCTATTTTTTCTAAGGGTCAATAATGCACTGGCACTTCAAGTTACTCCTAAGAAACAAATGAACATGGTCAGTGTGCATGTAGATAAGCCTTTCAAGAAACATGCATGCACAATAACTAACACCCATGTATCCCAGCCATTTAGTTCAACAGGTTCTTGCTAGTTTCATTTCTAACTGTACGCAATCAAATGCTGTTTCACAGAGATTGAGAGCCAAGCCATTCCAGCTCTGTTGCTCACTAGACAGCACCTTAGACAAGGTTGTATCTGGGCGTTTCTATTTCTTCATTTGAAAATAGGGATTAAAAACAGTTCAAACTCTCACAGATGTTATAAAATGTGAATGGTATAATGCAGGTGAAGAACTAAAATGATGGATTTATTTCCTGCTGTCCCTTTGTACAATGTAAACCAGTAGTTCCAGCAGCACTGTGCAGCAGACTCTACTGGAGGCTAACCAAAATGCAAAATAACTGGGCCCAGGCTTAAAAATCTTAGGACTGGGGTAGAGCAGAACAATTTGAATTTCTAATACTTTCATCATTAGCTTTTTCACTGCATGAGTACTACAGTCCCCTCTTATCCACAGGGAATAATAACTAGAAAGAATACAGACCCCACATAGACTATGCTACTACATATATGTACACAATATCTATGATAAAGTTTAATTTGTAAGTAAGGCACGATAGCATTAACAATGATAATAACAGAACAACTATATACTAAACAAAAGGATAATTCATGGCTCAGGCAAGACAGAACACCTCAATATTTCTTAACACTGCTTAGCATTTTAATTGAATGTATTAATTTAAAACTTATAAAATGTCTACTTCTGGAGTTTTCATTTGATATTTTCAGACCACAGTTGACAGTGGATAAATCAAAAAGTAGAAAATGGGGGAACTACTGTGTATTCTGCTGTTCTGACTCCATTTATTTGCCTAAAGACTGGGGAGTTCTCCATTATCTACCCTGAGCTGTCACTGAATGGCTTGCTACCTTGCCACTATCATATCTCACTTCCCCACAAAGGCTGTGAGTTCCTCATACATACAGCCACTGAGATATAAGCATTTTCCATGGTAGTCAGTAAAAACATGCTTTTACATCTACCAAGAGCCTACTTACATTAAAAACAGGCAAGTCCCAT